AGCAAAAGTAGCTCATGAAGTCTAGTGACTTTTTTTGTCAACAATGTCTGTCACTCTACCCTTTTTTACTTATTCCTTTTAACCCTTTCAGTGCAACTAACACTGTATGGCTGTAAACTTGTACGGCGTGCAGCAGTCGGAAGGGCAGGCTGCAAAATGCTTGCGCAACGTTACGCATAGTGCGTAAATATTATCGAGCAATTATCGAACTGTCATTATCGTTTTATCGAAAAATTTTATATCGTGATAATTATCGATATCGAATTATCGCCCAGCCCTAGTTGATATTTGGCACCAGTTAATCAGGAAGTGACGATTTTGTTCGCTTTGACTCGTTGGATGGAAACGCTGCTTTATTCGCACTTCTTTTATGCAATTAATCCAGTTTTGTGCATAAGGTTCATTTGCATTTTTAGATGGAAGCAAAGCTAATGAGTTTACTTTACTTAAATGACATTTACAGTCACCAGATCTCAATCCAATAGAGCAGGGATTCCCAAACCTTTTTATTCCGGGACCCACCTAGGCAAGTAATTCAATCTCAAGACCCACCATAACATTTTAATATGGAAAAATGGGTAAAAAAAAATAATCTATTCAAAGCAGTCAAAAATATATGGTGTGTGGCTTTTTGGATTTTGCGATTTGATATGCACAAAATGAGGCTCAAAGTGCTTTTTGTGAGATGCTGGCTGTAACTGTGATCTTTTTTTTTTTTTTTTTTTGAAAAAGATACTCTTTTTTTTATTTAGAAGAGAATATAATCAACCTTGATCAAGCTCCTTAATTATGATCAAGCCCCGTCACATCGCAGTAAATTCCACTGCTAGTGTATAGTCATAAGAAACTAAATCGCTATTTGATCGACTACTACAAGCTGGGAAAAGGTCATATAAATATGCAAATGCAATTAGCGTTGATGCTGAATAGATCTATTATTTACACATTTGCTTGAGGAAGGAATGATGGGGTACTTACATTACTATTTTCCATAACATCTATGCCCTTCCAAAACATTAGGTGATGTTAAAAGTAACAGATAGCACTATAGCTATTTATTGATTAGCAATCTGTCAACGTTGGGATGTAAAAAATATTGGACCACAAATACCTTCAAATGATAGAATACATAGCAAACATTAGAAAAAATTGACAATAAAATAAAAGGTTTAGCCTATTAAAATCAATGGCCTATCCAGAAATTAAATAAAGCTATAAAATCTATTTCACTTTTAATTGTATTTGCATATTGATTAAAGTTATTATAGTTATAGTGAAGAGCAGACAATGAATCTCTCATTGTGTTTGTTTGATAACAGAGGTGTTAATGTAAGAATGCACAGATCTATAATGAAGCATTCGACTACTTTAGTAACTGTTTGTGCTCATTTAAGAGAAAATTAGTAGTGTTTAAAATAAAACGCGCAGGACGAAGCAAAAAAAAAAAAGCACCTTTCCGACGGTCCCTTACTGAGAGCTCCGCTCTGTGCGAGCTCTCCCGGCTAAACGCAGATTGCGAGGGCTCAAACGGAGCAGTGCTTGTAATGTCGAGCGAAAAAAAGAAGAAGACAGCTGTGAAACATAACCAGCTTTGTCTTTTTTTAAGAAACACGCTTTTATATTTTTAGGGTGAGGTTTTTGAGTTATTGCAGTCAATCGTACTGGTTTTGATTCACCGCAATGTAAATATAGCTGCAGCTATGTGACGTACCTCTGCAATAGAGCACCTTTGGTGAAATGGCAGATTCGCATCATGGATGTGCAGCCGACAAATTTGCAGCAACAGCATGATGCTATCATGTCAATATGGATCTCTAAATAATATTTCCAGTACCTTGTTGAATCTATGCCATGAAGAATTAAGGCAGGTCTGAAAGCAAAAGGGTGGAGAGGGTGCTCGCTGCAGAGCCATTTGAGCAGAGCTGAGCTCCAGCGAGGGGGAGCATGAGCTCTCGCTCCTCCTCCTGTAAGCTGTTTTAATGCGTACACCAACCCCAACCCTAACCCTACCCCCAGTGACATCACTCGTAGAAGAAGTGCAAAAAAGGTGGAGCTCAAGCTCATGCTCCCCCTCGCTGGAGCTCAGCTCGCCCAAATGGCTCTGCAGCGAGCACCACTTGAAAGGGTGTCCAACCTGGTACTTGTAAGATGTACCTAATAAAGTGGCCGTTGAGTGTATGTAATAGCACACTGTGACTATAACAATAACAGCACATATGAGCTCTATTACTGGAGCTTATTTATATATTAAAGTACTATTTTTAGCTTTTAAACTATAAATACGTACATTGCTATCTAATCAGAGAATATCCTGCTTTAAAGAGCTTTAATATTTCGAGTGATAGATTGATGACAAAAATGCAGGACATGCTAATAATGAACAGATGCATTTTAGTAGACCCTTTAGTAGTTATCGGAATGCATTGACACATTTTGATAAGTTGGTCTCTAATATCTACGTAGAAGGTTTATGTGGCTTAGCTAAGTGCAATTGTTATCCATAAACTATTTAATAGGTCCATTTTTCAATCCCTGGGAATTGACCCTAATAGAGTTAATCGCCTAGCCAGTAACGCCCACTAAAATGCCACAACCATTTGTGCCTTGGGGGAAAAAAACAATACATTAGAATGAATGTACGGAGGCCTTGTTAAGCACTTAATCTTCAACTTTTGAAAAAAGAACTATGAATAAAATAAAATACAAATATTTTTGCTTGATTTAATATAGAAAAAAAGTTAGTCTGAAACTGAGATAATGGCCATTTACTATTGCAACCTTTCACAGCCCTACCTCTGCATTAACAAATGAGTTATATTAAGTTTAAGTAGTAACACAGTAAGCTAAGTGAAATGACATTTGCATAAACGTGCATTAAACACTTATTTTCAGCTGTCTACATGCTGTTTACTGTGACTTTTGCCTCATTACGAACATAAGTGTCAAATTTCACATATGCACGTTAAAATAACAAAAGATACATTTTTACAAAAAAAAGTAAATATTTTTGCTTGATTTAAAATCGAAAAAAGTTAGTGTGTGACATTTTTCACCTATGATGAGTTTAAAAAACCTAATCTTAAGTTTTATTCAGTCATTCAATCATTTTCTTTTCGATTCGAATTAATCGCCTCAGTGGAATGAACCGACAACCCATCGCTGGGAAACATCCATACACTGTCTTTTTCACAACTTAGCCTACCCAATTCACCTATAGCGCATGAATTTGTACTTGTTAGGGAAACCGGAGCACCCGGAGGAAACCCACGTGAACATGGGCAGATCTTAAGTGTTAGACTGCTAAATAAACTTACGAAATAAAAGTTTATAAACCAAAGCATTTTGTCCGGCATGTTGCATATGTGCATGTGTTCTTGCCTTTTATGTGAGCCCTTAATTCTTTTATGGGGTTGTTTGTTTCCCTTATTTGACAGGCGGCTTTCTAAAATGTGGAGCAGGTGATTTCCTGAGTTTAAATTTAGAATAAATAAAGACATAATCTTGTAATGTGTTGTAATTTGGTTTTCTGGAGGGGTACAAAGAACATGTATGCGAGGCAGAATGCAGTCAGAATACAGTTAGACTCAGTTTCAGTCTCATGTCACACACAAACTTAGTAAGTGTCCCACATTCAGTTTGTTTGATGATGGTCATGCTAAAAGTCTGTGTGCTGCAACTGTGTACTGTGGACTTGTTGTCCCCTGTGCCAACTCCGCCCCCAGGCCACACCCCCAGCTGTGACACAACATCAACCAAGTCTTTATAAGATGGTTGGTTTTGACCATATATGGATGGGTGATCAATATTAATGAGGTCTGCTCTGACGCTCCAATTCATATCAGTGCCTGATGATACTCAAACCCACACACAGTCAAAAATACACTTGCAAAATAATCATTCTTCAGTTGTTAAATGCATACTTGTTGAATGGCAATATTTTTTACTGAAGTTGTGGTTTATTTTAGCTTGAAGGAGTGAGTTGGCCATCTTGAAGTAACTTAATTTGCTCTGTTGTGTTGTAGAATAAATATAGACTAAATTATACTTGACAAAAGGGGCCAACTAAGATGTATTTTGAGGGTTTAACGTATATGAAAGTACAGTCAGAATTAATATCAACGTCTGCATAGAGCTGAGCGAATTAATCTGTGATTTTTCTGAGCATATTGTCAGTAAAGCTGGATCTTGTAAAACTCCAAAACATGCATTTAGAGAAGAGTGTACTACACAGGAGTCATAGCACACTGATTTTTTGCAAAAAAAGTTAACATTCCGAAGAAGTGCACAACACTCGAAGCCCTACTTGAATAAACATATGTTTTATTAAGTTTACTGGTACTAACACGGTTAGCTAAGTAAGAGAACATATGGCATTTTTAATGCATAAATGTGCATTAAATCTACTATTCAGCTGTTTACATGCATTTTTTTGCTTCATTACAAAAGTGCACGAGTCTGTTACTTTATTAGAAACATAAGTGGCAAATCTTTATGACTTTATGACTAAGGTAACTAAGGTAAGAAACTCTGGTTATTTATGGTGAGTTAGGAATAATCTGATTGTTGAATCGTGTTGGCTAATGCAGGACCAGCTGTGGTCAATCATAAGCACGTTACCTTGAAATTAGTTTATAAATAAACTTCACTTATATCAACTTCTAAATAAGAGGTGAAAATGTTGTTATTATTATTATTATTGTTATTGTTGTTATTATTATGATTATTATTATTATTATTATTATCTCACTAGGAAAAGGTCAATCGAACGCTTCTGGAAGCATTAATGTTAATGATCTCTTGGAAAACTCCCTTGTTTTGTTCCAGTTGACCAAATGAATTTGCACTCACAGGATTTACATTAGAACGAAGAAACAATGTTTTTTTGAGGCTCCTGTCAATTTATTGTACTGAACTATATTTGTAAGTTTTTTTTTTTTTGTTTTTTTTTTTTTTTTTTAATATTTGAATATTTGACAGCTATCCATCTTATGTTTTCCCAGGACACTGCTTTGGGAAAACCTCGTGAGATGTTTCATTTCGAGTCAGACTCAAGCTCACCTGAAGCTTTGTGTGCTTCTCTGAGCCTGACCTCCGCGACCTGGGCTGCACTGTCTGATGGAAATGGAAAGCTGACTCTCCTGCGCACCAGCAAGAGGGGAGAGAGTTCTCATCTTAAATGGGAGGTGGGAAATATCCACCATCAACATTTCTTGTTGATTTAAGTCATTAGTCTTTAATTGTTGGTTCAGAACTGACTGAGACAGCTTAAAATTTTGGTTCAGGCCAAAATTAATACTCTGTCATTGTTTATTTACTCTTATGCCATTCAAAAACACTTTAAATCATCTTCATAACACAGATGAACATATTTGAAATTAAATCTGAGAGATTTTTGTGCCTTCATTAAAAGTCTGTTCACTCAACTCTACTTCAACTTCAAAAGAGCCAATCCATCTGAGTTTGCAAGGCTTGTGGATCGCTAGAGAACTTTCAACATGCTTTTACGTTTGTGCTTGTTACAGTATCTTGGAAATATATTAATGATTGCTGAAATAAGACAAGGATAAAAAGAGTAAATATATTTATTCAAAGCTTTTATCTGCTGAATCGGAAAGGCTGGAGTTTTTTTCTTTACTAAATTATGTGAAAATCAGCTTCAAGGTTTATACAAATATATTTTTCATATCTTTGAGGCAGATTTTTATTCACAGATTTAGATGACAAAAAGTACACTCTGTTTGTTTCCTTTAGTTTATAAAAGCATGTTATTTTTGAGTTTATACGAATGAAAATATCTGCATCTGTACGGTATTTTAAAGTCTTTTCACTTTTATCCAAAAAGTAAAACAACAAAAATGGTCCAGGCATTTGGTGACCTCAGTGGATTAATCTCATTGGTTCTCAAGTGTCAATCAAGCATGTCTGATTTTCCATGTCCAAATCTGAATGTTGTGAACATTGTTCTCTGGTCATTCACCCTCAGTTTTATACATTCTTGCAATTTATAGCGATTTCTTTTTGATCTTTTTATGTATGTTTTAGAACTGCTGACTTTTAGGTGAAAAGACTTGAAATGGAGGATCAGAAATTTCTCAGATGTGATTTTAAAATTAAACAAATAGCGATTAACTGGCGATTGAACTAAATTTGTTTAACTGGCGATGAATAAATTTCGAATGATTTAGGTATGGAATGGTGTGAGGGTTAGAAAATGATGACCGAATTTTGATCTTGAATTGAACTAATCAATTTTGGAAAAATATATTATTTCTATTATTTAAAAATATGTGAGGTGCACCACACACTTTTTACGTGTATTCTTTCATTTTTCTCCCAGCCGATGTTCAGTGAATCTCTTGGAGACCCATTTATCATCGTTCACAGCTTGGCTCATGTGCACTCTAATGTTCACACCGTTGAAGTGCTGCTTCTGAGAGTACAGAAGGATCCATCTGATACCAAAGGCAGTGGTTTCTCAGTCTCGCTGGAGTGGATCACTGTGGATAACTCCGCTGGCCAGGGGGAGAGTGAGTGTCTTTTTTTTCAGAGCCACTGATTTTAGCTCTTTTAACATGCACCAACTGACAAAAGTCTCGTCTTCCATCCCAGTTGAAAGAGCAACAAGTAATTTCTTGATATCTAGCTGATCATTTGGAAAAGTGGCAGACAGTAGATTTTTCAGATGAATCATCTGTTGAAATCCCAATCATCGCAAATACTGTAGAAAGCTTTTTGGAACCCACATGGACCCTGGGGGTTGCGTTCAGTATGGGGTTGTGCGAAAGTTTTGCAGAGTGTATAACAACATCCTTAAAGCATAGAAGGTCAAGGTGCTCCAGAATTGGCCAACCCAGTCACCAGATTTAAACATTATTGAGCATGTCTGGGGAAAAATGAAGGAGAAGGCATTGAAGATGAATCCAAAGAATCTTGATGAACTCTGTGAGTCCTGCAAGAATGCTATCTTTACCATTCCAGATGACTTTATTGATAAGTTATTTGAGTCATTGCAGAGATGTAGGTATGCAGTCCTTCAAGCTCATGGGAGTCATACACAACATTATTTTTTTTTCCCACTGCACCATGACTTTATATTATATACTGCACATTTATCCTGTTAAGTGACAAGACTTTTGTCTAAGCAGAGTCAGACTTTAATGCCCTAATTAAATAATTAAAAATCAGGGCATGATCATATTTTATTTTGGTAAAATAAGTGTAATCTAGAGGTCTTTGCCTTTCATATAAGCCACTTCTGATACCAAATGATCAACTAGAAGTCAAGTTGTTATTTGTTGTTTCTTAAACTTGGATAGGTGACAAGACTTTTGTTAGGTAGTGTAGAACTGCAAAGATTTTTATTTGTTTCTCAGCCACAAGAATAACCAATAATCCAAATAATATCTAAATAATCCAAATGACAATAAATTGGCCATATCAGATTAACACTATTACTGTCTTAGAGATTTACCATTGTAGAAACTAGTGCTTTAATTTACTGTTTCGCATAACCATACAACCAAACCAAACACAACGAAAACAATTCTGAACACTGTCAGAGCATGTGCTGTACCCTGATTGCTAGTTTGCCACACATTTAACCTAGAAATGTTTTATCCATTCTTGCATGAAAAAGAATGATTGATTTGGGAAAAAAAAGTTTCAGACCTTAAAAAGTAAGATATTTGACTTTGAAATGCAGTGAATTATAGGAAATATCTCCCCAAATAGAAATACTTGTACTACATTGTAGATATTTGAAAAAGCTGCTAATGCCGAGTTCAGACTGCATGAATTTAGTTCAGATTTTAACTCGCTGACAGGTATTGAGAAATCACAGACAAATGCCTGAAATCACAGGCAAATCTGTGCTTGTTCACGTGAGTTACAATCACACAGTGTGAACTATAAAAGACACGATCTGAGAGAATTGCTGACAAGTCGCTGACACCCGGGAGATATTTTGCATGCTAAATATCTGGACCTGTCGAGGATTCAAATCACACCATGTGAAATGTGTTCTGATTGAAAATAACATTGAGATTGCCTACAGCCAATGACAGAGCAGCATCCACTAGTATGGGTATCTGCAGGCCAGCGAAAGGTTGGCGGAGAAGTTAAAAGGGCTTCTTTTCAGTCCATTTGAACCCAAAAATGGAGGAAAAACTAGTGGAAACTTGGCAGGAGCACCTGTGTATGTTTGACATGTCATCTGAGCAATACCTAAACTGGGTCGAAAAAGAAAAAGGTGGAGGAGAGATTATTCCCTTCAAAGGTCATTTTCTAAAAAAGTTTCAAAAAGTTTTCAAAAAGTCATTTTCTACCCCACTAAAGGCTGCTTTCTCATTATGCAGGTAATAACAAAAGATAAATCACATGGTCTGAGTTTTTTTCATGTCACTTATTGCATATGATTGGTTGTGAGATGTAGTTTGTTGACTGAGACAAAGTCGTCTGCTATTCTTCCTATTGTATAGTCATGCGTTGTGAAACCCACTGTCACTGATTCAACTTGCAGTTTAAACACAGCACCAACGAAATGCTACACCAGATAGTCATGCAGTGTGAAAACATCTGACACGACTACTTCGAAAATTGGTCAGTCTGAACTTGGCATTAAGTACAGTCACAATGAACACTTATTTTGTTACAATCCATCACTGGTTTTAATTCATTTTAAAATGTCATTTAATACTATCATTTCACCATCTTTTGATGTCATCTAATTTTTAAGACGTCATTATAATATACTAAGGATCAAAATTTAATAATTCTAATTACCAGTCTTGAAATCATTTTTATTCAAAAACCTAGTTTACTGTAATAAAAATATCTCAACAAATATAACAATATATTTGAAATAGAAATATTTTGTAACAGTTTAATGCATCCTTGTTTATTAAAATTTCTGATATCTTTAGAAAATAAAATCATAATAAATCCTAATCCAAAGCATGTTACATAACAACATTACCAAAAACGCATAACAGTGCACAGATTTACTGTTTTTTTTTTTTTAAGTTTTATTAAATTTATTACTATATTGTGCAGAAATAAGTACAAATAAAAAATACAGAATTATTTATATTAGAAAAAACATCTAGAAAAATGCATTTTTTCTTACAGGCGAGGAAAAGAAATATGCTGTGAGGAAGAGGAGGGTGATGAAGGGCAAGTCTGTCCCACACTACGCTGCAGTTGAGCCTCAGGGTAAAGGAGTCATAGTCGCCTCAGAGAAACCCTTCGCTTTTACTGAGGTGGACGGACTTCTGCTTGAAGAACCACCTGTTCAGGATATGGAGGTGGGGAACTCAGGTGAGAACCAGGAAAGCTTTCCTAGCTCTTTTGGATGGTTCTAGAATATTCATTTGAACTTCCAGAAAGTGCTATTTCTCCGGTGCTATAGGTTTCGGAAAGCCTGTAAGAAAAGACATTTGAAGTAGTCACCAATCAGCCTAGAAAGGCTCGAGTGCTGCGGTCTTGAGGAAGCACGCTTTCAATGAAAGGAATCAGAGGCTTGCTGTATCCATAGAAACATCAGACAGAATCATTCAAACGGAATTCCTCAAATAGATGTTGATGAGAACTGGAAAGGACCATGCCATTCTGAAATGCAGTGGTCATCAGTAGGACTCATTTAGCAAGGCCGTTTATGTAAAGTATCCCAGTTTGGTTTTATGCAAGTATTCAATGGCTAGTACAAAATATATTTTATAATGTGACAAAATAAGGTTTAATTATTAGCAGGACATCAGTGCTATCATACATTGGATGCGGTCATATCTATGTTGTTTATTTATATGCTCTTTAATGGAATTGGTGTGGCATATTGAATTTACTAGTACTTCGTTTTCATTAGTGTTGACATTTTCTTTATGTCAGAGAGTGCTAATTGCAAATATTGCTTCATTAGCAGTGCTCATGCTCAGACAATAGAGGACCAGTCAAAAATTATTCTTTTTTTTTTCCTCATTTAAAGGGATAGTTCACACATAAATAAAAATTATGTCATCATTTAGTCACCATTTACACCACTTGTTTGAATTTATTTAAGGGGCTTTGACAGTTTAATGTTCTTTTGTTCTATGTATTGAAGAATGTTGTTAACATGTTATCACTGATTTCCACATTTGTTTTTCATAGTTTGTTTTTCCTAACATTCTTCAAAATAGGGCTGTGCTGATAAATGATATTATATCAAATAACTATGATGAGCTCTGGACTTTTTTTTACTCTATACTGATCTAAGAGCCAATCGCACAGCAGAAATGCGCAACACTGGGAATCTAGAAATGTGTTGACATTAGAGATGCACTAAATTTTCAGCTACCAAAAATGATCAGCCACCAATAATTATCGGACCCTCTAATTTTTGACTTCAGTCATTGATGGGATACTCTTTTAAATTTGGAAAAATTTAAATATATATCGTTATATATATCGTTATTGTTCAATATGGACAATAATTAATCGAGATAATCGGGATTGCATTTTTGCCATATCGTCCGGCCCTACTTCAAAATAACTTCTTTTATGTTCAACAAAACATGTTTGGAACAAGTCAAGGGTGAGTAAATGATGGCAAGATTCAATATTTTGGGTGAAATTTCCATTTAAGAGGACCTTTAAGGGCCTGTTTCCCTTGAGTGGTACGGGTCGGTATGGGTCATCTTTATCAGGCTTGCATTTCCACTACCAAAAACATACGTATGGTACCTTTGGTGGGTGTGGTGTACTGTACGACAGAAAGTTTCACACATACAGACCCTTACAGTCTCTGATATGTTACCAATAACAAATAAACTACACACAGCATACATTTAGTCCTTGTTTGGGTTCATAAACAAAACGCAACATATAACCCACAGTCAGTGCAAACCTTTCATCTGTGTCTTCAATCTTTACCAGCACATGTAACATCTGTTAGAAAGTAATTCCGTCATTCTGAGTTCATAATAGTCCAAAAGGTGATTAATAATAGTTAACCATGGCAGTTTGTTCATCTTTTATGTTGCTAAAACAGTCATACACTCCTTTGTTCTCCTTTGTTTCTGAAACAATGTCAGAGGCACTTTAATAATCACGCACATGCTATTGTCATCAGCTCAAGAAGTTTGTTGCTTCAAATATAGATTTAAACTTTTTGAAACTCCCTTATTAAGCTATAGATTCAAGTTGTGGCATTTTGGTGAATGTAGCTTTAAATTTAAATTAGATTGAGCTCCCTGACCTCTTCTAAAAAAAAGTTGGTGCCACAAATACTTATGTGTCAGCATAGTGGCAGATTCAAAACAGGTCTAATGTTATACGTGTGAAAAAACTGAAATTACGGTGTGAAAACTCTAATGGCGGACGACTGCTTCTAATTTAAGGCTGTCTATGCTAATGAAGGAGAGATTGTCTGATGACACGTATAAAAGGAGACTTTAATCAAAGTGTTTCTGCAGATTCATTATAAAACAGAATTAATTGTGGTTTACAATTAGACACTGGCTGTCACACTGTTACCACACAACTGTATTTAAACCTCTTTTAAAAGGGATTATTGCATGATACAGTAGGTCCCCATAAATTTTTTTTTTCATTGTCTGGGACAAGTATTGTAAAAAAAAAAAAAACATCCAAACATTTTATTAGGTACACCTTACTAATACCGGGTTGGACCCCTTTTTGCCTTCAGAACTGCCTTAATCCTTCATGGCATACATTCAACAAGGTACTAGAATCATCAGAGATTTTAATCCATGTTGACATGATAACATCACACAGTTGCTGCAGATTTGTCTGTTGCACATCCATGATGTGAATCTTCTGTTTCACCACATCCCAAAGGTGCTTCATTGGATCTGGTGACTGTGGAGGCCGTTTAAGTACAGTGGTTCAGTGGTGGTTGGATGATTAAAGCTTTATGATATGCCGAGTTACCCTGTTGGAAGTAGCCATCAGAAGAAGGGTACACTTAGGTCATTTAGGGATGGACATGGTCAGCAACAATACTAGGGTAGGATGTGGTGTTGACACGATGTTCAATTGGTACTAATGGATCCAAAGTGTGCCAAAAAATATCCCCCACACCATTGCATCACCACCAATCAGAACTATTGATACAAGGCAGGATGGATCCATTAAGGCATTTGCACCCACAGAGCTGGCGTTCTCTGGATATTTTCTCTTTTTCGGAATATTCTTTGTAAATCCTAGAGATGTTTGTGCATGAAAATCCCAGTAGATTAGCAGGTTTTGAAATACTCAGACCAGCCCGTCTGGCACCGATAACCATACCATGTTCAGACTCACTTAAATCACCTTTTTTCCCTATTCTAATGCTCTGTTTAAACTGCAGCAGATTGTCTTGACCATGTACATATACATGCTTAAATGCATTGAGTTGCTACCATGTGATTGGCTGATTAGAAATTTGCTTTGGAGATCAGTTGGACAGGTGTACCTAATAAAGTGGTCGGTGAGTGTATATCAACAGAATATTATTTATACTTTAATTACTCTTAACACCTTTGGCTCATTTCCTGTTTTTCTTCTTTCACCTCTATTTGTCATCCAAAAACCTGTGAGAGTGGGAACTTTTAAAAAGGCCATTTGTTGAGCTTTGAGCTTTTTTTTTTTTTTTTCCTTCAGTAGAATAAAGGAGTGATCTCGGCTCATCCTCGTCCTCTTTCTCACTCTCATTGTAAGAGACTGAGAGTTCTCTGAGACTTCATTGGTAGGCGGATAAAATAGAGGTGCATTAGCTTGTTTCAGAAAGAGAGGTCGACCTTGCTCAGCCACAAAAGACTATTAATGGTCTCTCTCACACACACACACACCGCATGGATATTCTGGAGATGGTGTGGTGATTTAGGGGTACATGAACAAACAAATTTTTTTGTAGTGAACGCTCTTATGCGAGAGTGTGGAGAATCAATGTAGTGTAAGTAAGAAGTCTCTTTGGATGATGCAGAATCAATAGAGTTTTGGCAAATATCAATAATTATGTAATACATGTGCGCACACATGCACACTGCTATTTTTAAAAAAAGAGTAAACATTGAGTGTGCTACACTTAAAGAGGTTGTTGAAAAAAATTACAGTTGTTTCTTTCATATATTTTTATGTCATTTTAAAAGCTTTTATTTTGTTTTCTAACTGAATGACATGATCAAATGATTGTTAGAAGTTTCATACAGCAACCCAAATAGACAGGTTTAACTTTTTAATGACCATTTTTAGCCTTTTTTTTTTACATTTTAAAGAGTAAACACTAATGATTTTATACTTGATTAAAACATAAATTATTTCAATATGATGTAAATGTGTGAGGCAGATGTATATTAATGCACTTATAGTTTTAATGTCAATCATTTTATATTTTATATATTTACAGGTTGCTTATTGTGACTTTAGCTTCCAAACTTTGTCCTGGAGTGCTGATATCCTATAGTTTAGCTACAACTTCTTTCAAAAAACCAGCCTGGAAGTTTCTAGAAAGAGCTACTGTAGATCAGGTGTGTTTAATTGGGGTTGGAACAAAAATATGCTGGACACTGGCCCTTCTGGACCGAGTTTGGGCGCCCCTGGACCATAGGAAAATGAATGATTAATTTAGATTGCAAGTATTTAAGGTAGTTGCTACAGTGTTCTATAGATGATTTTTAGAAGATGTTGTTCACTGTAAAAACTGTTGGGTTCCACACTTGAAAACGTTAAGAACATTAACTTATTACATTTTTCGGATTAATAGTTTTGCATACAATGTGGACTCATCTTCTGCTGATGCTCTGGTGTCTATTTACAGTAATGAACTATCTGAAATTTTGGACACTTTTGCACCTTTACAAACCTGGGCTGTCTTTTCTGCTTCTGCTCCTTGGTTTTCTTCTGATCTGCATCAACTTAAAACTAAAGGTCGAAGGTTGGAACGGTTGTATAAAAAATCTGGGTTAACTGTCCACAAAAAATTTTTAAAAATGTTTACAGAACATGCTCATCATTATAAGGAAGCAGTATTTAAAGCAAAATCTGACTACTATGCTAACATAATAGAATCTAGTGAGGGTAACTCCAGATTACTATTTTCTGTAGTTAAAAAAATCATTAAGTTTTCCTGACACGTCACTTTCTTGTTCAACTGAGTTGTGTAACAGCTTCCTGACTTTCTTTGAAAATAAATTAAGAACATTCATCATCAATTACATTCAAATAGTTCAGCCCCTGACTTCAGCCAACATGTTTCTGAAATCATTACATTAATTTCTCTTTTAATACTTTCAACTTACCATCTACCGCTGAAATAGTTAGTCATATACAGAAATCCAAAA